TGGTAAAATCCTGATTTAAGGTCGAGTTTAATGTAAAACTTATGACCAGCAGCTTTTCGGATTTCATCTTGCACTACAGGTAGTGGATAGGCCGACCTTTCTGTGCGTGAATTTATTTGTCGAAAATCTATTACCATTCGTCCCTTTGGCCTGCCATCCTTAGGGACTAAAATTGCTCGACTTGAAAAAGGACTTTGACCACTAACCAATACGCCTTCTTCTATACCTGCATTGACAAATTCCTTTATGATAATGGTATCTTTGGGAGAGTAGCGGCCAGGTGAGCACTTCAGGTTTGAGGTATCTTTATCAAGAACAATGTCGTGTTTAATGCCGGTTGCTCGTGTTGCGCTTCCCGCAATTTGTAAAGAATGAAAAAGGGATGGGAATTTAGGCTTAAGAATATTAATATTTTTATCGATTTTTAATATATCATTAGGGGAAATTTCTGGAGGTGGTCGGATTACAAGTTCTTGTGGGAGTGATGCCAAATTTAACGTTTCATTTCAACTAGCTGGAATCTTAGAAGTTGCCCAGGCTGTGACATGATTTAACTCTAGTTCATCCTTTGGGATTGGACAGAGTAAAGGAGTACCGGCTAGTTTGGTGAGTTTCACACAGTCTGAGTCGGGAACGTAAAGGGCCCCCAGTTGGTGTAAGTTTGTTCTCCCGATTGTCAACGGTGCGGGAAATGTACCATCAGGAACCACTCCACAAGAAATTTCGATTGGTGGGTTACTAACAAATCTGACTGAAACTTTGCAGTCATAATTAACCACTGGTCCATATTTTCCTGCGACCCCTCGAAGTTGTACAGGAGTCTTCGATAAAAATATATTCTCAGAAGAGAGATTAGAAGCGATCGAGGAAGTAACATAACAACTTGCAGTTCCTCCGTCGAAAAATACGAAACTCTTAACGCCATTTATAAAACAAATAAAAAATCGATGATAATCGTTAGCACCCTCTCTAGAAACAAATGAAAATTCTGATGAAACATTCATTCATTCATTCATTCATTGATCTAGTTTAACGTCCTATGCGGTATCTATATACAGAACCATGAAGACGGTAAGCCGCTTTGGTAAGGGAAAAAGCTTTCAACAAACAGAACCCGATGTCCTGCCACTTTGAACCGACCCGGCTTTATGCTGAGGACGTTCCTTTCAACCGCAATTATGTAAACTTTCCTCGGAATTCGTTAACTCCCCCTTCAATCAGACTATCGTTATGAGAAATTAAAAAGAGAAGGCACCTCCTCACTCGGCGTTGGTCTTCGAAGTGTTCGAAGAGTAGGTCCCGATGGCGGTGCTGCTGTCGAGGCGATTATTGGTGCCGCTGGGGCTTCGACTACCTTACGCGGTCGTCCTGGCCCTCTTTTGAGTACTTCAGCCTTTTTACTGGTGACCAAAGTAAATCCCTGATCATCAGTTGGTCTGGCTGTTTGTGTTGGCGCCATTGTTGGTTTTTCATTCCAAATATCTGCCGTTCTCGATAACAGCTCCATCCGAGCCTTCTCCACACTTCCCTTGTAGACCTGGTAGGTCCGACACGCTGCTTCCTGCCATGAACGATGTTCCTTGCCGCATTTGGCACAAGAAACCCTTTTCCTCGGACAGTCCCGAGTTTGGTGAGCGCCAGCGCACTCACCGCACCTGGCTGCCTTTCCACACGACGCCTGCGTGTGTCCCCATTGGCTGCAGTTGTAACACTGCTTTGGCTGAGCCCGTGGCGACCATACCTGCGCGGTGAAGAGCATGGCGTTAATAACAAGGCCCTGTCGCACTACCTCCGTTTGCATTGCCTCGGATGGGAGGCTGACCACAATTGAGCCACGATTGCGACCGTTTTTCTTCGATCGCTGATGTTCCTTTCCATCATGTAGCCATCGTATTCTGCTAATTACCAGGCCTGGAATACGTGCCTTCGTCGCCGTCTCAATCTCCCTGATGATGGCGTAGTTGTTGGCATCTCTGCCACCCTCAATTCTTGTCCGCAGTGGGACTCCGGAAACCTCAACAGGAAAGTCTTGCCGCAAAATTTTAAAGTCCGTTGGTTGCCGAATATTAAGCGCCGCGTCTCTCTGGGACGCCGACTGGACAAACACCTCGGTGTCGTTGTTTCGCATCTGTCGAATTGCAAATGCGCCTTCGATATGTTGTTGTGCCTTTGACAGCAGCTCTTGTGGCTGCAAGTTTTGTGCGCCATCGATTCTTATCCTAACCGCTGTTTTCGTCATTTGCGGAGCCACGACCGACGCGTAGCTCCTTTGTGTCGGCGCGCCCGAAGCTACTGCTGGTGCAGCTTTTCGAGCGGGATCCGCGAGGCTCTTTTTGACAACCTCCTCGAGCGCCATCATCCTCTCCTCGATAGGAGACTTCTTCTGGGTCATATCTGTCCAGGCCCTTTTGTGTGCGTTGAAGGCCTTGACGGCCTCGTTCACGTCCTCCATTGAGGGTAGGTCCTCCTCATCCACCTCTCCCATCACGATTAGTCTGACCTTTTTCAATAGTTTCCCTAAAATTTCAAGGTTCTTATCCTTTGGAGCTGTTTGCGCTCCGCTGCCGTTATTTGTTGGGGCCATTGTCGCATTTTGCGACGCGTCGAATCCGCTGGATTTACCCACACCAGCACCCACACCCGCCATGTTGGAGCACGGAAAGCGAAAAGATGGGAGGAGGGTAATAAAGATGTAAAAATAGTAATCACGATGTCAAATTGATGATACGGGCAGCGTGGAAGGCTGCGCAGCTTTCTGGCAAAAATGATGTTTTTTCCCTGATGAAACATTACTAGGATTAAAAGATAAATCGGAAAAAGTTTCGGGATAAGAAACAAATTTATTATTATTGAGAAATTTTTGTTGCGGGCTCGCGGCGTCGGCGTTAAAGACACCGCTGCCTAGTCCTCATTTATGATCGTTACCGTCATGATCGTCATCATCATCATCGTCATTATTATTATCGTCATTATTATTATTTTCATTTAACTTGGGTTCTATTTCCTGACAATCCTCCGAGTCCCATGTTTCGTGATCAATTTCATCGTCAAACTGAACCGTTTGATTGGCATATACCGACGCAGATGTATTCGGTCGTCTATGAGGTGGCGACGGTTTAGGGCCACGGGAATAAGTATTCCGACTTCGAGTATTAACTGGATTGTGGTTTTGTTGTCTGTGAAATTGACCTCTTGTTTGAGGTACGACCCTTTCCTTTGAATAACCGGAGTTATTTTGACCTGCGTGGGACTGATAATTGTTCCCTTGGCGCTCTGCCGGCTTATATTTGTTGCGGCAGTCTGCGCTATAGTGTCCAAGCTTACCGCACTTGTAACAAACAGTTTCAGGTGTGGCGGCATTTACAGAAGCTATGGGATTATCTAGATTAAATTTGTCCTGGTACGTTGATGTGTTCGCGGGAGTTGTGTCAGTCCAGAGGGGGTCTTGGTAGAGAGGCAAAGATTCTCTATCCACTGGTCTAGATGCAAGCTTTGCCATCCAACACTGATGCTTTTCGGCGATTATCCAAGCATTTGATAAAGCGCTATGTAATGGATACGCTTCGTCTTGTTGGACTAAAGTGTTCCAACCCATACCCGCATGCGTTTGAAGTGTATATTCAATCGTTCCCTCCACCTCTTTACCAGCACGTTCTCGAGTGGGCATGCGATGAATGCGTCCTCAGAACGTTTTAGGAAATTTGCCTTTGACTCATTAGAGGGTGGACCTGCTCGAAAAGCTATAAATTCATCGACGGGGCTACACAAATTATTCGATAGGGCAAGGATTTGCAGATTACCTTCGACAGCCATTGGCCAGGTAGGACGATGCGTTCGACAAAAAGTATTCACTTGTCTGAAATCACATTAAAATAGGTGACACACTCGCTGAGGCCAGAGATCGTAGGGTGTCCCTTCTTCAATCAGCGCAGTTTGAATTTTTTGTAGGTTCAAAAGATTTTCAACGTCACATGCTCTGACTAGAGGCTTTAGTCCGGAGCGAAATGCTTTGTGTGAACTGCGACTATCCAAATTTCGATGATCCAAGTCTGATTCGGCAATTAGTTCGCACCAGTGCTTCCACAACCATTGAATATATTCGCTTTTCGAATTAAAAGAGGCCCAGCTGCTTCTATTTTCCCTATCGATACAAGGATCGGATAGGTTAAGTAAATTTGTTTTGCCTCGTGGCCCTGGCGAATTGGCAGGAGCTACAAAGAGTCCCCTCACCGGATTCCATGTAGACTTAAGTCCGGGTATAATAAGTGGGTCTCTTGGAGGAAAATTATTTGGACCCTTGGGCTTGTCGATATATTCGGAGACTTTAGATTCATTGTCGCTCAATGTATCGTTTTTCACAGCCGCGCTGGAGTCTTTATTGAGTTTTATCGTTGCCTCTAATTCCGAAAATCTAACGCTTAGTTCTGCTAACTCAGCATCATGACTTGTTTGCTTGACATTGAGCTTGCGAATTTCAGCGAGGATATCTGACAGTGTAGGTTCGTTGTTTGACTTCCCTTCGAGTTCAGAGTTCTCGTTGCTGGATGAGGCCGAGTGGGTTTTTGGTGGCGCCATTTTTTTTTGAAAATGAATTTGCGAAAAATGGTAGTTGAGTTACCTGCGCAAATAGCTATTTGTGCTTTCGGAATAACACCCTTGACTTCGACCTCAAAGCACGCCTGTAATCTGTATCACAGAATGCCTGTCAAGTCGTAAAGTCTGGGTGTAAGTTTGTTTTCAATTCCCTATCCAAAAACTCCTTAATAATACAAATACGCTAATGCAAGTCTGCCTAAGTAAACGACCATGATATGTCAGGGCATCACCTGACCTGGATACACAATCCTATATTCTTATAAACTGAGAACTGACAACTATTATGATGGAATAATGTGTTGTTTTTACTTGGCAATGAGGGGCGGGGTAAACGCATATTTGTATCTTCTTCGTCCTCATCCATCACCAACAACAACATATTAATCAGCAAAAATTTGCATACAATGACAAAGCATATTGTTTTCGATGTCGTTGGAACGTGCGTCTCTTACGATGCCTTTGTTCAGGCAATTGAGCAGCGCCTTGGACCCCAACTCCGGGCAGTCGGTATCTCACCACGTCTCTTCAGTTTCTCATGGCAAGAAGCTGCTGAACGGGAGTACACATATCTCTCTATTTCAGGCGCGTATCGATCCTTCATCAGTAGCGTGTTTCCTCAGCTCTTTCAACGCATGCTCCATATGGCGGGTGTAGCTGACCCGTCAACCTTTGCTAGCGCCGACGACGTGGCATACATTGTATCAGCCTACGCTAGTTTAGAGGTGCGACCCGGATTAAAAAAATGTTTCGAGCACCTGCGGGCAGCTGGCTTCACTGTGTGGGCCCTCACGAGTGGCGATATCGAGCGGGTCCGCGGCTACTTTATTCACGGTGGCGTGGAAATGCCCTTGGCGAACTTCATTAGCTGCGATAGTTTGAGCGTAGGAAAGCCGCACCCAGAAGTTTATCGGCACGCCCTTGAGCAGCTCCAGAGTTCGGAGAAACCGTGGTTCGCGGCGGCGCACACGTGGGATGTTAGTGCCGCCGGAAGGCATGGGTATGTCAAATCAAAGCAATTTTGCGTCTACGAGACTGAATGTGAATAGATTTCGGACTGCCTGGTGCTCAGTATTCGAAAAATTTCCCTGCGTAGACATTTTCGGCGAAATGGAGGTCAATGCCGATAGCTTACCAGAGCTAGCGGAGAAAGTAATCGCTGCATCGCAAGTATAGAATATAAGTAATTTTTGTTCACTTTAACGAGAGCAGCTGAAAGTTTAAGTTTCATTTCACAGTCCGTATATCACGGCTATAAGTTACTGGTTTGGCGTTAAAAGTTATTGATTTATATAAAGACCAACATACCACACATTGAGAGGCAAGAGTAAAATTTCCACATGGCTGGGCTTATTTACAGTTGACGCAGACTTTTTTCTCAGCACTACTATTAGCTACTGTATCACATACCGAGCGTTTAGCACACGGGTGTTGATGTCTCGATGGTTACACTGAAATCAAGAAGTCCCATTGATCTACATTAGAAGTGCATCAATTTATACTGACTTGGCTGCGAAAATCCATCCACTGGGTACCTTCGTGATGCAATTAAAAGTGACATTTTATTTTCAAATTTAGCATCCCAAAATCATTCTGCAGCCCATTATCCAGTCATATACATATCAATACAGAAACAAACCAGAATTTCGAATGAGCCAGTCTTTAATTCGCAAAGTGAACAATAATTGCCAGAGTCACCAGCTGAGGTTCGCGTTTTCAATCAAAAAATCTTGAAGAATCAATTATTAAGATCATCATCCAGAGAGGCTAGCGAGGATACGAAAATGAATCAAGATTCTGAATCTGGTCCTAATATCTCCAAAAACTATTTACATAACTAGCCTAGGTTATTTCATGCTCTGGTGTGGCAGCAGAATCCACACCAGCGGCTGAAATTTAGCTTTTGTTTTAAAGCATAGCCACTACATGACTTCAACTTAGAAAAGGACAATTTTCTGGATAATATCGTAATGTTAAAAATGATCTTTGCCGCAAGACGAAATAAATTTAATAATGTTCAATTCTGCTTAAAATAGTAGATAAAACCTATCGGTCAAAGAATTTATGATATTGTATTATAGTTGTGAGGTTATGTACGACTTCTTGGAGTCTGGACCTTTACAGTCTACGGAACTGAGGATAAAGGAAAGTGTTGAGATATAGTCAATTAGAATCTATGTGAACATATATAAGATAGGATGAAGTAGTCCAATCTATCTCTGTAAGAAAGTGTTCCTGATACCTTGCACACGCGCCTCGGCCAATCCTTGTTTTTGCTTTTTTTTTGTAATCATTTAATGTGTATTCAGCTATCTAGCTATGACACATGACCGGTGCTATGTATACATGTTGGATGACTCTTTTGACGATAGAGACACTCATACTTTAGATTTCATTCGCAAATACCACTATGAGGTATGCCTGATTACAGAAACATTCGACCCTCCTCCGTTAGTACCCACCGAGGGGACGTTTCAAAACCTTTGGTTATCCTAGCATGCCTTCGTCATCCAATGTGTACCAGCGCCGCGAGAAATGTGGTTGTGTTTTGCTGGATTTGAACCAGCGATCTACTGTCTCGAGTAGGATGTGTGTCCAAGCTATCCAGACTCAACTTGGCAGACCAGCCCAGACGATGTACCACCGCACCATATAACCATGGAGGTGTTTATAGTGTCGCCTGCACTCTCGCTACCGAAGTCTTGGCACGCACAAAGCTCAATTTGTAAAAAATCCATGCCAAATATTACAATTTCACTCCTGTCGAGACTGTATCCATCCTTCGCATCAGTTGTGAACTTGCCCTGATCCCTCTCACGTCCATCTCAAAGAACTGTCTCCCAGATTTGTGCGCTACGTTTTGCTTCCTCCGTCGTGTGTAAATATCGGCGTGGGCGCGTATTTGGTAGTCAAATGAGGCCAGAGAAGGTCAAAGAGTGGCGTAGTCATTGGGATGAGGGTGTACTTGGTCGTACTTGTAGGCTTGAAGAGACTCAGGTAGAAGTCAAACTCGCTGGGAGCGAAAGAACGACGTGGAGTAATTTGAATCATTGCCTCGCGGGCCAACTTCTTTGATATTGCGAAATTTGACTGAACTTAGCTCTGGGAGAATATTTCACTCCCAGGTTCGTAGGAGGCACCGCGTACAGGTATTCAGTCTTGCTTTCTACAAATGGCAATCGTTTCGCTGATTGGAGAGGAGATGATGCCGGGATAACGGCTCCTCTTAGTGTGTTCTCGAAGGAAGACCTATGGGGGCATTGAATAAGTAAATAAATAAATAATTCAGTTTACCAAAACCTTAGCAGGGCCCAGAGTAGCATTGCCACACAGGTAAGAAGCGAGCACATTGGGCTCAATGCATACTTATACAGAAGGAACGTGCCAGGAGTAGGAAAACCATGCTGCCAATGTGGATATCCGTCTCAAAATATTAAGCACATGGTGATGTCTGGTCCAAGATGGGCAAAGGGAAGAGGTGAGTTGCTACGAAAATCGACAACTCGATCTTTCGAAGCTATGGTAAATAACGTCAAAGATATGACAAGAATTGCGCAGTGGATTCAAGAGGAAGGATGGCTAGAGCAGTTTCGGATGACCGGGGAAATCGAGGCGTTAATCAGGCGAAGAGAGGAAAATGGATACACAGGACAAGGACGGAATCCACACTGGCAACAACAGCGTGAGTGCACTTCCTAGAGGTAAGACTATAATCGCGCAGAGTCAAGTCAGACAGCTAAGGGGGTTTTTAGCGCAAGGTTTCCTCCTATGTAAATATTAGAGTTCGTAGACACCTGCATGGGCTCATAGGGCGCCAAATCGGGCTAAATGAAATCAAATTCAAAAATAATTCAGTTTTTGTTGTGGTTATGAGCTATGCGGAAGTCACATTGCGGAGTGATGAGGAGTGGATGATGTTATTATTTGTGGTTGACAGTGAGTAGCCTCATACAATACTATGCCGTAGGTATATGGACAGAAAGTATAAGACTAAACCTGTGTCATTTTATTGTGGGTACATCTATGAAACTATATACATGCTCGCCTAACCAGTACACTAGTGATGTATGCTGTGGCCTTGAGCCACACGCGATGCCCTAGCCTCGGCTACCTCGTTGTCTCAGATCATAACAGTTTTCCTGTACTAGCGCCTTGAGACTTATGCAGAGTTTTGTTGGAAGATGTGTACTTAAAGTATGATATCTCAATTTGACGTTTAAAACTTCCATAGTAGATTTCATTTGCAGATACTACTCCATGTCTAACGCCGTAGGGGTTGACTTCTTCCGTGTATACACACAACAGGGAAAGCGTGAAAACCCTATGGATATCCGAATGTGCTTTCATCATCCCACAAGTACAATATCAACACGAGAGAGAATGGTGTATAGGTTTTACCAGATTCGAACCAGCTTTTTCCTATCTCAAGGGGGACTATTCCCAACACATGTCAGTGGTGTCTCTTACGAACCTTCAGCTCTCACTGTAGAGTCTACGGAGCTGAGATTGAGTGACAAAGTCCTCACTTCGATGAGAATTCCCAATCGCTTTCGCGGTCTGTACCTTCTTCATCCCTCAACACATCCCCCTATCACTATTATCATGGAGAAAATGCCATCCGATGAGTTTCCGGAGCGTAACCAGCACCCGATACGAAGACGGTGGATTGGATCAAGTCGGCCTCGAATGTCATAAAGAAGGGAGAAATAGATGAATATGCGCACCTCATGTGGTCCCGGTGTCTAGGTCTCGCCTGGCTGGGGCTGCAGGTTCTTTGAAACTTTTTCCCGCGCACGCAGTTTCTAGTGCTACCATTTTTTTTATTTTTCAGTAGAAGGTTCTGTGGAAAAGGTGGCCGAATTGCACGCGTAATACTGAGCTGAACGGCTATTCATGAGGGGCAATATATCAATGATCTCACAAGGAACAAAAGAGGATAGGAGCACTGTACAAGGTGTGGCCTGGGCCAGAAAGGAGCCATATGTGCTTGATATTCTATGACTCAAGTTCTGTAGTAAATATACACCTCTCTCTCGCTCTCCTGTCTCAAATGAGCTAGGTGTTAAAACTACTCAATATCTACTTGGGAGAATGGCCCGAATGGTATACTACTGCACCATCCAATCCTTGTGGGGGTATTACCGCTGGATAGAAATCGTGAAGGAGCCATAGATAGTCCCGGCCTGTAGGCAGAAAAAACCTAAATTTCCTTACATATTCATAGACTGATTAGGAAAATAAACACATTCCCTTCTCCACCTTTATGAATATTATACCCATGTATATCTAAACGGGTTAGATGAAATCAATTTTAAAGCACGGTAATCAATATACAGGGTCGGGTGTCTTTTTTTTTTTTTTTAATTCTGGGTCGGGTGTCGCTGTTCTGCTAATAATAGCTTTATTCTATACCAGATTGGCATTGATTGGCCTGAACTGATTTTTTTCGCTTCTCGACAAAGAAATAAATTTAGCGTCAAGATTTCGCGAGGCACAATGATCATCCCGCTCTACGTCTAGAGAAATTCACACAACTATCTCTCCATGCATGCTATGGATATCGACGCACCTATCTCAATTGCACCGCTAGCAGGACAAACAATCAAAACAAGTGCTACGTATGGGAAAATACGGCTTGAAAACTATGTGGCTAATCATGAATTAGAATTCTATGTTGTAACTGCGGTGCTGCTATCGACGGAACAAAGTCATCAGGTGCTCTATGCTACGACTGTATCAAACTTACTATAGATTGTTCTCAGGGTATTCCTAGGGAAGCGACTCTTCATTACTGCAGAGATTGCGAGAGATGGCTTCTTCCACCGTCTAGTTGGGTTGTCGCCAGTCTTGAATCTAGAGAATTACTTGCCCTCTGCTTGAAGAAACTAAGAGGTCTTCACAAAGTTAGAATAATTGACGCTAGCTTTATTTGGACTGAACCACATTCTCGGAGGATAAAGGTCAAGTTAACCATTCAAGATTCTGTGTCGGAGGGTGTTGTTCTACAACAAGCATTCGAAGTTGAGTACGTTGTTGCATCCCAACAATGTCCTGACTGCGCAAAGTCGTATACAGCAAATACATGGCGGGCCTGTGTTCAAGTACGACAGAAAGTTCCTCACAAGCGAACATTCCTATACCTCGAGCAACTTATTCTCAAGCACGGAGCACACAAAGATGCAATCAATATCAAGGAAGTGAAAGATGGTTTGGATTTCTTCTTCTCGGCGCGAAATCAAGCAGAAAAGTTCGTTGAATTTCTCAACTCTGTTGCACCTATTCGGTCAAAGAAGTCGCAAGAGCTTATTTCGATGGATATACACACTTCTACAAAGTCTTACAAATTCTCTTATTCGGTAGAACTTGTACCAATTTGCAAAGATGATTTGGTAGCACTTCCGATTAGATTATCGAAGCAACTTGGAAACATCAATCCTCTTGGCATCTGCTTTCGTGTTGGAAGTTCGGTCAACTTCTTAGATCCTGGTACTCTTCAAACTACGGATATTAGTACGCCAATTTATTGGCGTGCACCGTTTGCGCCCCTTGCTGATGTTCAGGAACTTGTAGAGCTCATTGTCATGGACATAGAACCTATTGGAGATCATAAAGGTAAATGGCTACTTGCTGAGGCCACTGTTGCTCGTGCTTCAGATTTGGGAACAAATGATAAGACATATTACACGCGAACTCACTTAGGAAACATCTTGCACCCAGGAGATTCTGTTATGGGATATGTTTTAACTGGCACCAACTTTAATAGCCCGCAATTTGATGCCCTTGAGGAATCAAATACCTACTCATCACTCATTCCAGATGTAATTCTTGTAAAGAAGCTATACCCACGTAAGAAAAAGTCTAAAGCCCGGAACTGGCGCCTTAAGCGCATGGCTCGTGATGATGGCGAACTTCTTCCAAAGAAAATAGACCAAGAGAAAATGGAAAGAGATTATGAGATGTTTTTGCGAGATGTTGAAGAGGATGCTGATTTGCGTCAAACAATGGCCTTGTATAAGGCCCAACAAAAGGCCAAGCGAGATGAAGATGCTATGAGCATAATGGAGTCTGATGACGGCGAAGACGAGACCCCACAAATTGATATAACTGAACTGTTGTGTGACTTCGACGAATTAAATGTTAATGAATCACATCCTGATTAAAGGTTCAGAAAAGTGGCGTTATGTCGGAGTTAATACTTGTCTAGAGGGGCCATTGGAGAAGGGTATGAACGCTCTAGACTTAGTGGTTGAAAAACTTTTAGCTGAAACACGTATCTAAATCGAATATCAGCTCAAATAAACCCTTTAAATTTGAGACATCTTGTTGGAAAGAAAGCAATCATAGAACAGAATATTGATACAATTGGGGACGCGTTCCTCCGCACGTTTTTGGTGGTGATCACAACCAAATTTGTTTTGTGGTTGTAATTATTTCAGGTAGTAAAATAATCATCAAGAATCATCAACGTTTAATCTAGCTCCCCAAGCAAATTGTAAGTGTGAAAAGATCAGTCATGAAGATTGTTGTTTGGAAATTACTATTGATAGCAGAAGTTGTTGGTATGACAAAGGTCATACACTAAAAGTCTATTAGTTCACTTAAAAATATGAGAGTACTTGTTTAATTATTTTGAACTATCGTTCAGAAGAAATGCGCATTCATTGTTCATTCGTGTTCTTCTGAAATGATGCTATGGAATTGCTATCTACACTACATTCGGATAATGCTTTATCCGAATGTCAGAATCCACACATCAAGAGACCTAGCCAATGCAATGCAACTACCACTGACTCCAAATAACTCTATCTAGATGAATCATTCCCACAGAAGTAATGTGGACCTCAAAAGTCATATTTCGAGAGATCAGGTAACTCTATTGTATCAATACTTAGATGAAGATGATACCGTCAGAAAAATGAATAAAAATCATTTTGCCTGCAATTAACCATTGCAGAGTTGGTGCAGCGCCTCTATCGTGATCGTCAAATGCTAAAGTGTTACTACATGCCCCCCAATTCCACGGATAAATACTGGGCTGAATGGCTATTCATCAAGGGAAACAAATTAATGATCTTTCAAGGAACATGAGAGGCAAGGAGAACTGTACAAGGTGTGGCCTGGGTCAAAGAGGAGCCCAATATGCTAGATAGTCATAAACTCAAGTAGTAGAAAAATACACACACACTCTCTACATGTCCCAGCCAGGAGGGCGAAGGCTGAACACCTGTCAGCGGTGCCCTCTACGAATCTGGAAGTGAAATATTCTCCCAGAGCCGAGATTCAGTCACGAAAAAGGGTGGGATTACTGTCCTACATAGAAGTAACTCAAATAGGACATAAATGGATAAAAAAAAAGGGTGGCATGAATTTTATTTGGTGGATTTTCGAGTTGAAGAAGTTGCACTCGATATTTTGGTCGAAAAATCAGTCGGCAGAGATTTCACAGCCGGAACAAAGTTGAACAAAAATTCATCACCTCCAACATACGATTCACGAATGGGCTTAGGTCTGGTTGGGGGTCGTATTCAAACATCCGACATCTCTCAAACTCCTTATACATTTGCGACGATTCATTTCTCAGCCGATCTCACACCTGCGGCCCACCTCTATACTCGTCACGTCACCTACCTACACACGCCCTAATGAGTAAAGTCATGATGGAAACAGAATGTGTGCCAAGGAGGAAGAAAATGGAAGATACACCGAGGGGACTTTACAAATCTCCAATGACGACAACAACCCGACGGCACGATATGAAAGTGCAAGGCTATAGCAACGATGAGATCTTGGACGGTATTTATATTTCGGAGTCAATGAGGATGTCAAGGGCTCGGGCGCGTGGTGACCGAGGCTGAGGAGAAATTTGCGCTTCGGCGCGTCAAAAGAGGGTTCTCTGGACGGTTGGACTTGACATGATTGAACATATGGGTGAAGTCTGGGGTGGTCCGGTCATTCAGTTGGGACAAGGTAGAAGTAATTTAAGGTAGTTAACCTGATCCGACCCGGCCCCACACGTGCTTAAGCTCCAGTAGCAGTGCAGCGGTAGTCACTTAACCGAGCACGTTAATGAACAAAATAAAGAAAGAAGCCCTTGAATCCTAACATCACTATCAATTTATCCTCTATTTTAGCAAACAATGTCTCTCGAAAAGTCTGCTTCAGAAACCAAAGTTCGCAAGAAGCTAACTCGCGATCAATGTATTGAAATAAGAACATCAAGAAGACTTGGCTTGACATTACAAAATATATCGGACGAATTTGGTTTCACAACAAGGCAAGTACGGAGGGCAAGACTGAATACCTGTACGTGGTGTACTCCACGAACCTGGGAGTGAAATATTCTCCCAGAGCCAAGTTCAGTCAAATTTCGCAATATCAAAGAAGTTGGCCCGCGAGGCAATGATTCAAATTACTCTACGTCGTTCTTTCGCTCCCAGCGAGTTTGACTCCTACCTGAGTCTCATCAAGTCTACAAGTACGACCAAGTACACCCTCATCCCAATGACTACGTCACTCTTTGACCTGCTCTGGCCTCAATTGACTAGCAAATACGCGCCCACGCCGATATTTACACACGACGGAGGAAGTAAAACGTAGCGCACAAATCTGGGAGACAGTTCTTTGAGATGGACGTGAGAGGGATCAGGGCAAGTTCACAAACTTATGCGAAGGATTGATACAGTCTCGACAGGAGTGAAATTGTAAATTTTGGCAATGAGTTTTAAGAATTGGGCTTTGTGCGCGCAAAGAATATGCTTGCGAGAGTGCAGCTGAAATTTTTTAAAAAGAAGCCGACGATTGATGGTGCTGTGGTCCGCCTCCAGGTGGTATTCTCCGGTATAGTCTGAGGATCCTGGGCACCTACTTCACTCGGGAATGAGATATATCAGACCATATTTCGCGCGGAGAAAAGTTGAAAGATGATAGAGGCATGACTAGATAACTCAGGGTTTTCGAGACGTCCCCTGGGTGGGTATTTACGGATAAGGGTTGACTTGGGGTGAAGAAAAAGCCACCACAACTTCGCAGTGGTACTTGCAAATGAAATCCGAGGCATGAGTACTCTTCTTTTATGTTGAATCATATAATCTGTACTTTTCTTTGATATTGTGTCATAGCTAGATAGCTGCATACGCAATTAAAATCTGATGCAAAATAAAAATAACACAACCACATTTCTCGCGGCACTCGTGAACATGAATGACGAATGCATGCTTGGATAATGACGGGGGTTGAAATTTCCCTTTGGTGGGTATTCATAGAGGATGATTAACTGTTTGTTCAAGCAAGCTTATCTGATAGTGGTATTTGCGAATCAATACTGAAGTATGAATGTCCCTTTCATCTAAAGATTCATCAAGAATTTAGTAAAACCACTGGTCATGCGTCTTAGCTAATTATAAATGAATGAAAGTTAATTCGTGATGGGCACAAGCCCTGCACTTAACGAGCGTGACACGGAGAAGACTAGCTTCTCCAGCGACTATATACGACGATAAATCTGTTTGAAATTTGGACTACTCATAAAGTTGGTGCATTCGCCGATACCACATGAGACCTTGTTGCTAGTGACTTTCACCCATCCCTCAACAGTTAATATCCGCCAAAGGGAAAACAGGAAAAACTTCTGCTTACCCTGACATGCCTTTGTTATCTTGTATATAGCCGCCGCGCGATACATGGCTACACAGTCCTCCCTTTTTCGAGTGAGGTCAATTTATAGGCTATCCAGACTTCAATTGGGGAAAATGACGACTAGGAGGCGGACTAATACACTGTTGGTAATACACAAAGTAATACAAAACGGGTACTGTTACGAAGTCAGCTGTCCATCATGAAGTCGGTGAATAGTGTCAATTAACTGGTATCTCGAAATACATAAAACATTGTCTCTCCCCTTCCTTCCCCTACCCCAAGCGCCTCGCTAATGAGCTGAGTTAGATCCCTGTCAGTGTCCTAACTGTTGTGCTGGCTCGGTTGAGTTGTTAGGAGACAGGGGAACGGAAGATGGGCTGCTGGATTAGGAAAGGGTGGAAAATACAGGCTGGTGCACAGACGCTGTTCATGTACTCTACAATCTCTTCACCTGCCGAGTTTAGTGAATTAATCTATCTAATATAATATCATTCTTCACATCATCCATTAGATGATATTATCAATCGTCGGGATGCACACCTAGCATCACCTTCATAGATCACCATCGTCAGTAAGAGTTCACATTTGATACCTACTGACACCCATTTGGCCACAGTGATACGCACTCAGTGTCCATCGTGCCATCACCCAGCGTGAGCGCGCCATCTCCGCGACTCACCATTGCACATGAGCCCGTGTAATTCCACCGACGGACAGCAGAGACATAATTGCTATATACCTCACAGCTCATAACCACAATACTAACGACAACCTGAATACCGCAATTAGATAGAACCATTCATACTGCCCTAATATGATCCTTTTACCGACAAACATCGTCCATTGTTGCTTGTTTTTAAAATGTCGGCTGCACTTTCCGAAAACGTTGCCTCTATACTCACAGACACTCTTAAGTCAAAAACACTCGAAAAACGAGCGTCCCAGCATGCCCATTCGTGACCTCTTCACTCGTTCGTCCCACATCCCAGTTGCCTGTCATTCCTCACGATGTTAAGCCCCATTAGAGCAACGGTCCCCCATAGACCAAAACTCGAGCTTTGTAGATTATGACTTAATTTACTCCTCGCGGGAATACATAGCATCGTAATTCTGTAGTGGGAGACGTGTTGTGATGTAATCATGCTGTTATATAATCGTGTTGTGATGTAATCGTCTCAGCAGAATGAAGATGTAGTTGGGAAAGAGACTGGGTTAATGTTAGCGTATGCTGACTAGGCGGAGCTTTATTTCTGGTATAAATATTCAATAATGGATGCATCATAAGGGTGTGGATACAGTTAGAGAAGAGTAATATAATAAACTACAAACAGCTCTCTCGTCACTTCTAGACCTCATCAACGGCTCAACATCCGCTCTCACGTGCATCTGAAAATACCATCCTCTAGCTCATATCCATAATAAGATGGCCGATTCTTGATGAGGCAAATGCCCGATTACAATTAGAGTAACGCCATTATCGGTGGTATGGGCAAGGTGGTGTAGTAAGATCGAGGTAGAGGACTTG